ACATAGAATTGTCCTATGACTCATAACTAGAGACCTTACTATAGGCTGATAATGAACTAATAATAATCTATGTGATTTAAAATAACTGGCTTCACAATTTAGTAATTTAACCATTTTCCTAAATGCTATATATTATGTAGAATATACTAGTGGATAAGATATACTGTAATCTTGCATCAGCAAAGAAATGGAATTACCACTATAATATCCCAGTAAGTAAAGTAACAGTAATAATGTTCTGATGAAAAATGTTATTATTTTTATTAAAATAATCATTAATAATTTTAAGATTCTACTTCCCTTTCAGATATCTGTGTCTAACAATAAATGACCCTCCCCTGGGACCAGACTTTAGGACATTTTTTTCACAGCTTTTAATTAATGACCCAAACTCTACTAGATAAGTAGGATTTGAGAGAGAAAGAAAGAGTATAAATGGGGCGGGGTGGGGGGAGGAGCAGAGGGACAAGCAGAGCAGGGAGCCTGACTCAGGGCCCTATCCCAGGACCCTGAGATCCATGACCTGAGCCGAAGTCAGACACTTAATCAACTGAGCCACCAGACGCCCCAATAAGCAGGATTTTTTAAAAGTACTTTCTGGTGAAGTATTATTCCTTCAAGTCATGAGATAATCTTTACCACAGCAATGCAATGGAACATGGTGCTAAATGACCTGAAATAAAAGATACCCCAGAAAGATGGTATTTAGTTGTCCTGTAGGTGACTTCCTGATCCTAAAACTAATTATAGTGAAGAGTGAATTTAACAGATGCCTGTGAAATTGATTGAGCAATCCTTTTTAAAAAACAACAACAAAAAAAGTACTATGCAGGGGCACCTGGGTGGCTCAGTCAGTGAAGTGTGCAACTCTTGATTTTGGCTCAGGTCATGATCTCAGGATAGTGAGACTGAGTCCTGTGTCAGGCTCCGTGCTCATCGTGGAGTCTGCTTGTCCCTCTCCCTTTGCTCCTCCCCTGCTTGCTCTCTCTCTCTCTCAAATAAATAAAATCTTAAAAAAAAAAAAAATACTATGCAGATATCTTAATGCATTTCTTTCTAAAGGTTCCGTGAGTTTGTGTTGGTATGGATTCCCCAAGAAGCAGATGCCGATTGAGGATTAAATGTGCAAGAAATTTATTAGAGTAAATGCCTATGACAGAGAATGAGGAGAGAAAATGGGTAATATGAAATGTGAATCTGATCATATCCCGGTCCTACATAAAATCCTACAATGCCTTCTTATTGCCCTTAGAGTATATACCATATCTTTAACATGGCCTGTAAGGCTCTGCATGATCTGGCCCTTACCTTACAACCTCAACTTTTGATTCTTTCCTTTTCAGCTGCTTCACACAGACATGTTGGGGAACTCTTAGCTTCTTGAAAATGTCCTTCTCTTTCCTGTTCACAGGCCTTTGCACTTGATGTTCAGTTCCTACCTTCCCATAGAGCTAACTCCTACTCTACCTTCTCATCTCAGTTTAACCATGATTTATTCTGGGTAACTGTCCCTGACTCTCCAGTAAGAGTTACCCTGTGTATGAACTCAGTAGTCAATAGATTCCCTTTCCACTCCTCACCTCCAATCCTCAAAGGGATTTTCTTATATACAGGAAACACGGGTCCTAAAGCCATGTCTGCTATTGGCCTTCCCAACTAATTCCACCATCAGTTCAATGTGACTTTATTTATGTCTTACTTAATCATCTTGCCAGTGGTAAATGGGCAGATTTTGGCCTGACTCCGAGGTACAGCAGTAGGCACAATCAGGGAAATAAAGATATTTTGCCTATTTTCCCTAGACTGCTTTAATAGCTTAGAATAAGTAACCTGCTAGGAGGTGATGGCTTGAATTTGTGGCAAGAATATGAGCTCGGGAGTCAAATTCAGGTTATAATCCTAACTCCACCCCTGATGAGCTGTCTGAGTTGACTCTGTGAGTCTCAAGATTTCATCAGCAAGAGACACCTGGGTGGCTCAGTCTGTTAAGCATCTGCCTTTGGCTCAGATCGTGATCCTGGGGTCCCTGTATCGGGTTCCCTGCTCATCGGGGAGTCTGCTTCTCCCTCTCCCTCTCCCTCTGTGCTTTCTCTCTCTCTTCCTCTCAAATTAAAAAAATAAACAAATAAAAATAAAAAAGATTTCATCAGCCAAAAGGGCAGGGAAATCATGGCAGTCATGAAAGAACAGGGTGGTTGCAGGGCCTGTAGCTTTGGAACCTTCATGAGATTGTGAGGATTGAGGATTACATGCAGTGACATAAATATATGTAAAGCACAAAAAGAATCTGGCTTTGTTGGACACCTGCCAATTTGTAGCTCAATCATCCTGAGCTCAAGGAAATAATAAGCTGATAATTCAACTAGGTCCTTACATAGATGTTCCCTATCAGTGGGTGGTAGATTATAGGGGCTAATGCCATCCCTTCTGAGGGTGCATGCAGTCCTTGTATGCCTGACCCAAATTGTGGGTAATGAAGGCTCAGGCGATTGTGTATGCTCTCCTATTTGCTTTTAAGTTTTCTCTTAATTCATTCTATTTCATATTTGCACCATGAGGCAATGAGTGCCCATTACCTCTTTGCATAAGAGTTGGAGACTAAGTAGGGACACATACCACCTATTCCAGTGTTATGTGGTTTTGTAAACAGTAGAGTTTAACTGGCCCACCTAGGGCGGGAAACAGCCCTCTTTGGGGGGCCAGTCACCTGACAGTCTAGGGCTATGTGTTGCTAGCCCAGGATCATGTTCGGTGGCATCAGAGGAATCTTCAGACACCAAAGCTCCCAAACTCACAGGTCACTGGAAAGAGGTGAGTTTTCTGCAAAAAGAAAACCCAGAAGACTGAGACACTAGTTGCATGACTTCTGCTAAGTCCCAAGGCCTCACTCTTAGACATTATTTTACCAGGTCTGGAGTAAGGCCAGGTGTATTTCTGAAAATGTCTCTCACAAGTTGTAATGTGTCTCCCTAGACAAGGACTGCTAGAACAAGCCATCTCCAAAGTTCCATTAGCTTTTAGTTCCAGAGGCAGGCTGAATTGTCAACATATGGGTTTTCTCTCTTGTTTTATTGGGTAAATTGTATAAAATACTTTGTACGTTCTACTTTGCCTTCAACCTCAAATGTCTGGTACCTTCTATCATTTTCATAGAACCTAGTTGCATGTTTAGCAATAGGATAGGTAGATGGTCTCCTGCAAAGTTAAGATGTTTATACAACTTTTGTTTGTCACACTGTGATGCTCTGATGTATGTTGCGTAATTTTCTTCTGCTTTCTATGTAAGGACCATTACTCTCTGGTTTACAATTCTGCCTTTTTACATCAATAGCCCATTTATAATTTACTGACTAATTTTGCAGCATGCCTTCAGATATTTTCCTGACCCATCACTATAGTAACAGGGAGAGAGTCCTCATCTTGGAGGAGATGAAAGCTGAAGCCTGAGGAATAAGAGCCTATGGGGAAAAAAGGAAAATCTGAGGTAAAGGTTCCCTTCAGCTTTTTCTTTGAAAGAAAGACCTTTATGTTTGAAATATCGTAGGGGCAGCTTCTGCCAAGAGTGATGAAATCTTTTGGAAGTTACTGTGTTCTTCATGCCAGGTTAGCTCTTTAGGTCTTGCTGATAATATGTAAATGATGCCAACATAACACCATCTAACCATTGTCCCTCTTCATTGGCATGTACTTTCATCCAGGGCTGTGGCACTCCTGTCTTCTAGCTGATGCTGAGGAGGCCAGATCCTGACTCACGACAGTCATACTCCATGTCTCTTTTACTTGGCCAAGAAAACTGTTACATTCTCTCTTTATTTGTCAAATGTAAAGATATTGGGTCCTCCCTAAAACTTACTGCTGAGCTGCAGAGCATGAACACTTCAAGGAAAGAAAAGTAAAATATATCGAAATCTAAATGAGGAAAATAATGTATAAGAGCAAAATGAAGCAAAAAAATCTCTGAAGAGATGAGAAAATAATTTCCTAAATTCATTCCTTGGAATAGTCTACAAAGAGGGAGAGCCCAAATCAAGTTATTACTATAAGTAAACTTTGCAAAATGACTACAGTCAGGCAGTTAGATTTTCATGACATTTCATATTTACTAAACTGCAGCCTTGAGATTGATGTTGGGGGTCATTTGTGTGATCTTCAAATATGCAGGCTTTCTGCATAGGCCTCATAACTCCCAGGAAAATGGATAGGTTTCCCCAAAAGGGAAATTAGCGGATTCTAAAGGGATTTACAGTGTAGATTGTAAGGAAAAAGAAAGAACAGGGAAAAGTCAGGGGACGGTCTCTTTAGCTGATACAGTGCCATCCTTCTCCAGAACAGACTCCATTTTTCTCAGTTACTTAGTTACCCAGCATATCACAAAATCTATTGGCTCTTAGGTACAAAGAGGGGTGAGTCAGAGACTTTACAGGATTATTTCCTAGTAGAAAATTATGATAAATGTATCATGGATTTTTCTCTCTCTTCCATCACAAAGTGAACAAATACATAAGGGAAAAGAAGGGTTAGGTTAAGGGACAAGATTAAAATGAGCTTTTGAGCTCTCAGATGTGCCTTAGGGAGGTCATAACTGACTCTGAACTGACTCTTATCATGTTGGGGTTCCAGAAAATGTTGAGTTGAAGGAGGATGGATTTTCTTGTAAAGATCTCAGGCAAATGATTTGCTAGAACCATAGCTGGCATCCAAGGGATAGAAATCATTGGGATTGTAGTGTATTTAAAGTTCAAAACTTTATTTTTTTTTAAAGATTTTATTTATTTATTTGACAGAGACACAGCGAGAGAGGGAACACAAGCAGGGGGAGTGGGAGAGGGAATGAGGGAAGCTAAAAAGAAACATCCATTTCCTTTTAACCAGCAGGCCAAAGAGTCTTCTGGAATTAAGAGATTCCAGGTAATTATAAGAATAATGAAGTGGCTTGTTGATTTATTTCTGGAAATATTCATTAAAAATACAAATTACATTCTCTTTTGCTCCTTCACTAGGCTTGTTCAAGTCATTACAATGTGCCTCATTTTTGCTTATCTGCTGTCACTGGCAGTGAAGTAAAAGAACTCGCTCTGATGTAATGGAGTGGATAACCAACTGATATACCAAGATTAAAAATTTTGGTAAGGCAGACAAACCTCTGAAGTACCATTTGAGATATTTCCTGGCCGGATCTGACACGTTTAGCACCCTATCATAAAGTGAAGGGAGGCAAAGTTATTCTGTTCAATAAATGTGCATCCTCATGGATCTGGAAAGAAAATACCTGAGAATTTAACTAAGGTCTAAGTGAATCATAACGTGAATCTTAAAAGGTTGCAGCAAATGTTAAGTTTCTTGTTCACAGTTTAAAAAAGAAAAAAATGACTCCAGATATGGTAAAATTCCAACATCCTAAGAATGTAGTATTGCATAAATCATAGTAAGTAAAATAACTGGAAAGCAGCGTTACATCTTCTTGAAATCAGAGTCTAAACTAACTAAAATGACTACATCTTCTATGTTTTCTGTGCTTTTTTGACAAATCTGGTTGAACGAAATAAACTTCATCTTTCCTAACAGACACAAAATAAATAGGAGAAATGCCCATTTGGTGTTTCCTGTTTGGTTCTGTTGATCGACTAATGTTTCCTCCTGCTGTAGCAATTGAGGATGTTTGTATTCTTGAGCCCTCCACAGGGAAGCAGGAAAAAATCTGAACTCTGATGACTGTGTACTCTGGCTTTGATGCGCTGCTCTGTGCACTGGGCAGAGGAACTGAGCTGAACTAGCATTAAAAGCAGCAAAAATCCCAATTAAGAGTCTGATGTTTAGCAGCTGCATCTGTAAGTTTACTTGGGTAAGAACATAATTTCTGTAGTAACACACATAATAGCTTCAACTGCTTTCAAAATGAGGCAGATGAAATATACAATAAGTCATTTTCTAAAAGATATGTAAAATGGCCAATGAAGTAGGAAGCATACAGCAATAATGGGCCCATTGGTAACAAACAGAATAGTTCCAGGGAACATTTTAGAGTCGACTATTATTACAATGCTTCAAAGTTTTGAACTTTAGGGGTGCCTGGGTGGCTCACTCTTTAAGCGTCTGCCTTCAGTTCAGGTCATGATCCCAGGGTCCTGGGATTGAGCCCCACATCGGGCTCCCTGCTCTGCGGGGAGCCTGCTTCTCCCTCTCCCGCTCTCCCGGCTTGTGTTCCCTCTCTCGCTGTGTCTCTCTCTGTCAAATAAATGAATAAAATCTTTTAAAAATTAAAAAAAAAAGAAAAGATAATTTAAAAGGAATAAAATAAAATAATAGTAAAATCAGTCTGCTTTTTATTATCACTATGCACTGACAATTCTAAGCAATGGCAATGATTCTACTCCTCTCTGAAAAAAACAGTCTTTTGTTGGTCTAAGTTCTAAACAACTGCTGCAGTTACTGAAATTTAATAATACATATGTAAGCTGAAAATTACCATGTTTTCCTATCACTTATTCTTTAATAAACATTGTATTGCACACAGAAGTAATTCCAGCTCCCCTACAGGTGGACTCAGCTACATGTATTTATTTCAAGAATAAGCAACCGACTTCTGCTTTTTCGTTTTCATAATTGCTCTAGTATAATTATTTATTTTGAATCTGTGTTTAAACACAGTATTACGTAGTACCTCAGGGGCTAAAGACATGAACTGAGCCTGAAGCAAGCTCAGATAATTCGCAACCATTACAAGCTTTGAGAATTTTACCAAATAAAATAAAAATTTATGAGGAATTTTCTCGTGAAGGTATTCTTGTGGAAAATTTCAACTGCAGAAACATATGAAAGCTGCTACAATGAATCCCAGAGAACCAAGACATGGACAGTATTGCAATTTCTCAAATCTACTATGAAATGGGATATTTATGAATCTCTGATACACATCCTTACTTTAAAGCTTTCTATTTGTATATCTGTTTCTTAATGTGAGAGAAACATTTGAAATTAAAATAAAAAGTGTTCCTTAGTCAGCTATGAGTCAGGATAGATTGACAAATCTGATATGTACTCTATCCTGATTCTGTTGACCATGATTATATGAAGATCAGGTTGACAAAACCACTGGCAAATTTGCAGAAGTGAAGTTTCAAAGCCAGAAACTGCAGTGGAATTATTCATCACTGTGGCAGACCATTATGTAGGCATAAATATTTTTCTCCTTTTTTCAAAAAAAAATTAATGTATTTTAAAAAGTATTAGAACCTTATTTCTCGTATTTTATTATTTTTTTAAAAGATTTTCTTTATTTGACAGCGAGAGAGAGAGAGCATGAGCAGGGGGAGGGGCAGAGGGAGAAGCAGGCTCCCTGCTGATCGAGGAACCTGACTCGGGACTTGATTCCAGGACGCTGGGATCATGACCTGAGCCGAAGGCAGGTGCTTAACCGACTGAGTCACCCAGGTGCCCCACATTTTATTAATTTTTTGCTAGCAATATTTTATATGCAAAATTTAATAAAGGAAAATTGTCACTGTCTGAATTGCTTTTCTGGACATAGTAATTGTTATTTGTTGCACTTCATGATTGTTGCTGAAAATACTTTTGTCTGTAAGAGAAAGAAGTTAAAATGGTCCTTTCAGGTGTCAACTCACTAGGTATGCCTAGTTTAACTCAAAACAAATAAAACACAGTCTGTCTTTTTAGTTCAACTCCATTTTTGAAAATTATGCTAATAGCAATTCATTTTAATAAAGCAGACTCTTAATAATCAAGAAATAGAAGAACTACCCTTAAATACAGCTCTCATGTACCATAGATTTTAGTTATATATATAGTTATTAATTTTAATTAATAATTATTATTAATTACATGTTATATATGCTATATATTACCAAAATATATGCCAACAATAAATATATGCTTTGTGTCTTAACTAGTTTGAATAAGCTTAGTAGGATGAAAAAACACAAAAAAATACAGCCTGCTGAAATTTAGACATGAAGAAACAGATTATGAAGATCTCATAATAGCTAAAAAAGATGAATCTCTAATTTAAAACCTTCCACTATAGGTGAGTTTCACTATTGAACTCTAGAAAATATTTAAGGAATAAATATCTTTATGACTTTATAGAAAACAGAAAAAGAGGGAAGGCTCTCCAATTTAACTTACGAGGCCAGCATAACCTTGATATCAAAACAAAAATAGGAAATTATGAGGAAAAAATTAGGGGGCAACTTCAATCATGAACACAAATAACAAAATTCTTAATTTCAGCTAACCAAACAATATGTACAAATGATAATATGTCACATATAAGTTAAGTTTGCTGTAATGATGAAATATTAACATAAGAAAACCAAATCAGAATTTACCACATAAACAGAATAAAGGGAAGAAGTTGTATCAAAATCTTTCTGGAAAAGCAGTTGATTCAAGTCAGCATTTGTCTATGATTAAAATACATCTTTTGGCAAACTAAGAATAGAAAAGAATTTCTTTCATAGAGGATATCTATAAAACACCAAAGCAGTCACCATAGACATATTGAAAGCTTTCCTTCTGAGATTAAGAATAAGACACACATAGTCAGCCTTATACTGGAGGCCATATTCAACGTGGTAAGGAAAGAAAAGAAAATTTTTAAAAAACCATAAAACTGATATTATTTAATGTGACTTGTCTATGTGGAAAATCCCAAAGATTCTACAGATAGATAATTAGAATTAGATGAGTTTAGCAACTAAATATTTTTTAAATTGCACTTCTGTGACAGGTTAACAACAGAAAATAAAACAAAAAAAAATTTAAATAGTATAAGAAATATTTAAACCTAGGAATAAATATCTAAAAATTGTGAAAGAAACATAAAACATTTCTGTGAGACATTAAGAGACATAAATTAATGCAAGCTGATACCACATTCATATACAGGAAGAATCAACATTTAAAATGTTCATTTTTTTGAAACTGAGCTTTAGATTCAATAAAATTACAGTCAAAATCCTTCTAGGTTTATATGTGTGCTTAAATGTGTATGTGTATTTGTATGTATCTGTGTATGAGAGAGAAAGGAACTTGAAAGCAATTATGAAGAAATTATGAAATATATATGTAATATTTTCAAGTTCACTTCTTTGCTATGTTGCTCTCCATCCCAGCTGGTTGGTTTTAACTTGTTCTACTTTAGTGAACATTAGTGTACTAATCTGTTTACACATTTGTCTCTCACTTTTAGATTCCAGTGTTTTACAGGGCTAGCTCTTATATTTGTGTCTGTGTTATTCCCAGTATATCATATCACACACATGTCTGTTGAATGAATGAATGAGCTTTTCTACTCAACATCTTGACTCAGTGGGTAAGTTCCCGTTTTAACCTTTTTAAAGAAAGCTTGAAATCACTCTGCTACCTTCCAGCAGAATTAAAGCCAAATCACATTCTTTTTTTTTTTTTTTTAAGATTTTATCTATTTAGAGAGCACGAGCCCAGAAGGAGAGGGAGAAGCGGACTCCCCACTGAGCAGGGAGCCCGATGTGGGGCTCGATCCCAGGACCCTGAGATCATGACCTGAGCGAAGGCAGACGTTTAACCAACTGAGCCACCCAGGCGCCCCGCCAAATCACGTTCTGAAAGGTAAAGGATTCTACCTTATTTTTCCATTTGAAGTAATTCACAGTTTCATTTCCTGTGGCTCTCTTAATGCACACACTGCCCAAGTTTCACAAACTGTATCCAGAGAATAAGGCTCTCTTTGCTGATATTGTTTTCTGTTTTCTCTGTGTGTACTTAATCATAAACATCTCTCTCAGAATTATGTTCACGATATGAACATCCCTGCTGTACGTTTATATTTAGATGTCAACTTCTTTGGAATCTGCGGGTAATTTTATTTAATAATAAATCTGTGTTTTATAGAAGAAAAATTTAAAAGTATATATCTTGCAGTATATCAACAGAAAATGCACCCTCTTGAAAAGGATCATGATGACCTAGACAGAATCTAAAAAGTTGTATGAAAGAATGGTATACAAGCCTGCAAGATGCTAAATAATGTGATAGAGTTAATTTTAGCTAAAGACTTGCTCATCTGAATGTTAGTTATAATTTCTAAAACACGTTTTAAAAAATACACATTATTTTATTTTATTTATTTATTTTTTTAAAGATTTTATTTATTTATTTGACAGAGAGACACAGCGAGAGAGGGAATACAAACAGGGGGAGACACAAGCCGTGGGAGTGGGAGGGGGAGAAGCAGGCTTCCCGCGGAACAGGGAGCCCGATGTGGGGCTTGATCCCAGGACTCTGGGATCATGACCTGAGCTGAAGGCAGATGCTTAATGACTGAGCCACCCAGGCACCCCAAAAATACACATTATTTTAAAAATAATACAGAATGTCACCTACCTGAATGACATGTGGTCTGTTGTGTTTGTTTGCATGTTTTGAAGAAAAACAATAACATTGAATTATTTTAATATAATTATCTTGTGCCCAAAATATCTATATATATATATTTTAGGCTAAGTTCATAGTCTCTGTTGCAAAATATTAATGACTGATATATATGTATTAATATTTATGACTATAAGAATAGCTAATAATAGTGATATACTTAC